AACAAGGAGAGGAATCCAGAAGGGGCTGTAACCACAAACAGCCGCCGACCAGACTTGACGGAGTCGTCCGACGAACAGCAGGTCGTCGCCCCGGTAGCCGCAGTCGTTCCCAAGTACAACAGGCTGGAGTTCCCTTCATACAACGGCGCCGAAGATCCTTTGGGATGGTTGTACAGATGCAAGCAGTTCTTCCGCAACCAACGGACAGGGGACAACGACAAGGTAAGCTTGGCCGCATTCCACATGACGGAGGAGGCGCAGCTCTGGTTTTATAAATTGGAGCARGAGGAACCCGGGCTCAGTTGGACCCAATTCAAATCCTACTGCCTCCTCAGGTTTGGGCCCCCATTGACGAGCAACCCGTTAGGTGAACTGATCAACCTCAAACAAACAGGAACGGTGGCTGAATACCAGTGCCAATTCTAGACCCTCCTTGCCAAAGCAGCTTCGGTACGACCGGACCAGCAGGTAGACATGTTCACCGCAGGGTTAGCAGAACCCTTGAGGGTGGATGTGGAGATGCAACACCCCCCCAAGAACGGAAGGGGAGGAACAAGGGAAAACAGGAGCTTTTCCCCGTGGACCGACCCGTGACGCGACCCTATTCCCGGGCCCATAACAAATAGTGGGATCTACTCACACACCATTAACTGCCTTGCTCAAGAAAAAGAAGCAATTGACTGTCAGCCCTCTTATGATGGAACTGATTGAAAGTTGAAACATCTGTAAATTCTTCCATGGTTATGATCCAATGGGTTTCTTTTGACTTGCTATCAAGTTAGTCATGATATTAGCTTCTTTTCCATTGACATTAAAAAGTCTAGTGTTTATTTCTTCCCATATACACCACACTCCACAGAGTTCCAACTCTAGTGCATCTCCTTCCCTCAATTGTTCTTTTGCAAGGGAAGCATGATTCAAATGAAATCAACTTTTGAAATTTGATAACTGTGCTGTAGAAAAGGATGTGCTACCTTGGAAAAAAGTGAATAATTTCCTTCCCAATCAAGAACGAAAGTGAAACATGATTTTGCATAGGGGGCAGGTTCACTGTTTCGTTAAGAATGAGTTTGATATATCTATTTTGGTGTGCAGGATCTGAGCTGGCAGTTGGGACATGTCCATTGATCTATTTCATGCTAATTCCATCTGGCAAGTTTCAGTCCAGTTGCCATGTTTCAGTTGAAGAAGATCCGATTTGTGATGAAGAAAATTCAGATTTGCAATAAAAAATGGTTATGGGGCTGATGTCAACAAGGAATCTAAACATACGGCCACTTAGAGGGTTCAGCAGTCTTTCTGCCATGTGGCATAAATCCTGCTCATAGGGACTTAAAAATCCACATTGATGGACATATTCAAAGACTGCCTTAACCTCTTAGTAAACAGAGCAGGGGGTGCCTAAGTGCATTACAAGAAATACACACTGAGTTGTTGCATTCTTAGTCCTTCGAAGCTGTGTTTTGTTAACATTGCTATTGGTAACACTGTTTGACACATAAGAAGTATGGCATTTGTGAAAGTCAAGAGAATAATATGGACTTAGAAGTAAATACATATTCCCTATAGGACAAATGGACATTGTACTGGACTAAATAGTGTACAGTTTATGGATCCATGTAAGAAGTGTAATTGTTGTCATGCTTGCCACATCTTAGATAACATAATATTAATATCCAAAAATTTCAGCTAAAGCTCAATCAGTATGGAACTTTTTTGGATTTGTCTGGGTATTTCAGTAACATAAGGTTTGTGCTTGTTACAGTTATTTTACTTTTGTTGTGGAGCAATAATTGCTTAACTGTTTGGCATATGTGTTATGGATGTATTCAATTTTTGGATATATCCATTCATCCGTGCCAGTTGCCACAAAATGCATATCCAAGGTATCTTTTTAATAAATTGGCTACACCAACCATCTAACTTTCTTGCCATCTTAATTTATCTTCCCTGATTTTTGTGGCACAATAGGTGACGTTTTGAAACTTTTTTTTTTGTTGCATCTAGCAAGTGGAAAATGAATTACCAGATAGGAAATATTTTTGTGTTTTTTTTTTTATGAATAACATAATTAACATCATTAATAGAAATAAGTCATTACAAAGATGCTTGCAGAACAGAACCCACAGTGATGGTTGGCCACGGTTAACCATTACCAATACATAAAATAAAGAAACTTTACAACTCCCCACCTCGGGGAACTGGTCCCTAAAAGAATTGATTCCTCATTGCTCCTTGTTTTGCTATTGAGTCTACCAGAGCATTAGCAGACCGTGGAACCAAAGCAACTTAGCATTTAGGTCACTCAAAATGTTTTTCTATGTATTTGGTAGCCATAAAACGATTGGAGGAATTTTTCGTCTTTTTTAGAATGTTCTGTTGTCAATTTTTTCGTTAGCCATTTTCCACTCTTGTATGTAGCTTGTATTGTTTGTGGTTCCATATTTCATCATATGTCCACCTTTTAAAACCCATGCTTTAGTAGTGCACTGTGCAGCATGCTTCAAGAACAATATAGAGAAATAGCTTATATTGGTAAATTCATGTCCTGTATGTGTTTTGGTGCACGGGTACTGTAGATGCTTTTCTCTTAAAGCAGAAAACTTACCGATTTGAATCTTGGAAGTTGGAGAATAATTTGGGTAGTTGGTAACTTGGTATTTCTGTTGTACTTGCACACGGTTCAGTTTTTATCTATTCCATGCATACATTTTCTCCAGCTCTTCTTCTTATTGAATTTCCGGTAATTTATGCCAGAGGCTTTCACTGATTATTTCAACAAATATGGAGAAATTAGTGATTCAGCAATAATGAAGGATAAACATACTAGAAGGCCACAGGGGTTTGGATTTGTTACATTTGCTGACCCAGCAGTTGTGGAGAAGGCTTTGGAAAGACGGACATATTATTGATGGCAGAACAGTAAGCTTGGAACTGCAAATTTTAATTGCATCATGTGTGAATATTTTCATTTAAAATTAGTAGTTTTTCTATTGCTCAATGCCTATTCCTTGATCTATATTCTTTTGATGCTCATTGATTGCACTTTCTTACCTCAGGTAGAAGTGAAGAAAACAGCCCCAAAAGGGGATATGCAAATGCAAGTTAAAGTGGAGCAGATAACCAGAAAGGTTTTTGTTGGTGGAATACCCCCATCTTTCACCGAAGGTATTAATGCAAACCTGGTCCTTGACAACTTCTTCTCCCTTGACCAAATATTTTTATCTTATGGCAGATGAGTTGAAGGAATATTTTTCTTCATATGATTCCATTGTTGAGCACCAGATCATGTGGGACCATAGCACCAGACTGTCACGAGGTTTTGATTTCGTCACATTTGAAGATGAAAATATTGTCGAAGAGATCATATCTGAGGGAAGACCACATGAACTTGGGGGCAAACAGGTGAACCGTAAAATCAAGATAGGAATACATTCTAGTGATTGGAACTAACCTGGAGAAGGGTATGATACAAGAGCTCATAATGGTGGTGTTTCAACCTCATATGGGGAGTTTGGCAGTCATGCAGTAGGATATAATGCTGGTTATATATTTGGTGGAGGGTATGATGGAAGAATGACAGGAGGGTATTATGCAGGATATGGCCTAGGCTATTATGGGTATGGTGGATCCATGTACTATGTAGAGGCATATGGGGGGCCACTTGATATTGGTGGTGCTGGTTGTTAGGGTGCATATGGGAGTACTGCTGCTGTCAACGGAAGGTATCACCCATATGGAAAGCGAGACAATTTACAGAATACAGGTACAAAACCTATGGTTACTCATGACGCATAAAAGCAGAAGTTATCATCTATGTGGAAGGAACTATTTTGAGTATCAGTTGGATGTCTTGTTCTGATTCTCATGAAGCATACACATAGTCCTTTTCTTCTTGGGGTTCTGTATGTCCAACCTCAAGTCTTGATGTCACAATTAGAATGCTCCAATTTTTTTTTTTTTTTCATATTTTGTGAATGGTGTAATTGTTGGGTTTTCTTTTTCTTTTTGTTCAGTTGACAAGTAGATACAAGCGACTGATTATAGATTATAATTGCAGAATTTATCAATGCAAAATTGCAAAATGACGGGGTTTTCATAATGTTAATCAAGTTCAGTTTGGAAGGAGTGCAAATACAAATATGTAGAGGGTAAAACCTTGTATTTTGTATGTATTTGTACTGTACATATTTGCATATGTATGCTTATTGAGATTGATTTTCACTCATCATCATCATCTTTGTCAGGGTGTTATTCACCCCTCCAGTGTCCTCCAGATTTATTGGGCTTGAATTCCCCCTGTTACTTGGCAAAAAGAGCTTTCGTTCTTGGAGGTGGTAGGAGTATAACGCGCTTGGGGACAAGACTTGCATTGTCAATTTTAGGCTTAGATTTGAAGTATCAACGGATATGTATCGGCTTTGCATAGTATCTGCAGAGGCCTATTCCCACCCACGTCGAGCCTCCATATTTAGTAAGATCAGAAATCTGAAGCTGGTTGTCAATGTATTATTGGCTAGAAAGTTTCTTAACATCTCCAATGGTGCTTGCTACTGTACCGTCTAGCCTTAAGAGAACTCCATTAGTCCCCAGCACTAGCAGCCCTGGTGTTAGAGCAGCTGGTGGTAATAGGATGTAGGAACACACAACACAAGGAGTATGGTCTTGTGGGGATGACTGAACCATTATATCTCCCTCTTTGTCATCTTTATTGGAAGCCAATGAACCATCATCAACTCCTTTACCAGATACATGGCATTACCTGCAAGGGGATTGTATAGCTCATTTTAGTCTGTCATCTCATACTACACTTTACATACATAGATAATATTATAGATACACAGATAGTTCCTTCCAGGTGCATTGAGATTATCTCCTTGTCTTCTCATACTACACTTTACATCAGATCCACCACCATCTTACTCTAATGGTGACGGTGCATTGAGATTATCTGTAGTAATGCTAGCCAGTTGGAATAATTTGGGAAAGCGGAAAAAAAAAAAAACTAAGCTTTTGTATAAGCCACAACCCAGGGGCCGTTGGAGCAAAACTAGTTTACACAGATAATATTATAGATAGACTGTCATAGAAAAGAATACACGGTTGGAAGACTCTAGGGTGGGTACTCTAAATCTATCCGAGCAAAGCAAACCCATCCCTGTTGACGCTTATTTAAGTACAGCTTTCATCATACATTCATACCTAAGCTGTGACATAAGCCCCGCCCTGCAGTATTTTATTGCTACAACCTTGAGTAGGCCATATACTATTACATCCTTGGAGCTCCAACCCTGCCACTGTTTCATTCCTTTTAAATTATTTAATTTTCAAAATAAGATATTGGGTCAATAAATAGGGGTTTGTCTTTCCTTTTACTCTAATCAATTTCTCTGTGATGGAATGAATAGGGTAAATAAATTGCTTCAACACCGTCTCAAACGAATCCTGCTTGTTTAAATTTTTCTTTTTTTTTTGGCGAGAATTCTTCACCCTACCAGGCTACCACTCAATAAATAAACATAAAAAAAGAGTGGGATCCAGCCCAATATGTCCTTTTATTTATTTTTGTCCTGTAGTGCGTAGTGTGCATGTACATGACAAGTGGGCAACCCTTCCCACTAGAAGAGGGCAAGATCCGAGGAGTTGCATGGAAGTCGTTGTTTACTCATGTGGATGTAGAGTTGTAACTGGTAGTACACAATAATTGCAAGGGAATGTGGATGGTGCAGATGCTCTCTCAACTTTCATCTCTCATCTTTTGGCATTTTGGATTTGGATCCGTCCGTTGTTTGTAGTTGCAGAGACTAGAGAGAGAGAGAGGGGGGGGGGGGATGGTTGTCAGACGAGATTCCATGGTCATAGGCGCTATGATAGGCCGGCCGGCCTCCCCACTCACCATTGGCAATGGCGGCATCATCGGCTCATGAAATAAATGAATCATTCTGGAAACGTCAGTAGAATTTCTAACTCAACTCCAACGGGGGGAATCTGTTGTAAGAGCCGGTGCATGGATGACACGTGTACACGGCGAATATGCTAGTTGTTCATACTTCATGCAATTCAATGTCATATTAAGAAATTAATTAAAGGTTTATTTTTTAATTATTAAATCAAACCTCATAATAATATTTAATTAAGAAAAAAAAACAAAGAAGAAAAAAAGGGAAGGTGACTGGTGAATGAGTCCATTCAGGCACTTGCACTTGGGGAGGAAGGGCAACAAAAGGATGGGCTGTCCTTTTCCAGCTGTGTGCTTTCCAATCCCAACGACATGACATTACCTGTTCATGGTTTGGTTTTGATGTGTTCTCTCTCTCTTCCCCCATTTTCACTTTCTCTTTCCTCCCCTGCCCCCCAACTGCCATCACCTCCTCTCTCTCTATCTCTCTCTCTCTGCTTGCTTGATATAGAAGAGAAGAGGTGGTCTTAACAGTTAAGAAACAGAAAGAGCTCCTACAGAGACAGAGCCTAAGTAATATGGCTGTGAATAGGCTGAACTGAAGCATCTGGGACGTCTGCTGCTACGTGTTGCTCATGCAAAATAGAGTACCCCAGTCATATTAAAACACCACACATGGCCTCCGCAGAAGCAGAACCATCTCCCCACCTCAGAAGATATGTCTTTGATCCCCTACTGGAAACTGGGGATGGAGTTGAGCTCAAGAAATCATTTCATGGATGGGGGTGATGGGTGATGGGTCCCCGTGTTATTTATTGTTTTCTTAACACGTGGTCTCGTTTTCTGCATTTCTGCTCCTTTCCCCCTCTACAAACTCATAGACGCCACACTCCTCAAATAGAGTAGTAATTATAAAACCTTTAAAATACAACAAACTCCTCTTTCTTCTTTCTTCTTCCTTCTTCTTCCTTCTTCTTCTTCTTTTAGTCTTTACATCATCTCTGCACTGCACCAATTCAATCTTTTCTGCCCCCAACTATAAACAGTAAAAAGGAAAGGAAATGAAACAAAAAAAAAAACAGAATAAAAATATAAAACATCAAGAAAGGGTAAGAGAATTCCTAATTTGTTCAATTACAATGATGGTGATATTAATATCTCTGTAGGTAGGAACCGAGATTACAGAAATAGGGTGATGAATGATGAGCATCAGTCCCAAAGGGCACCAACATCTCTAAGCTTGGGCACAAGATGTCCACTGACATGAAGAGCCATGAGACTCTCTAGACCTCCGACGCGCGTCCCACCTATGAAAACTACAGGAGCAGGAGCACCAGTCCCACCTTCTCCGTCGCTGATATCAAGAGCAGCGAGAGCACCCAACTCTCCATCGTCCAATTCGATGACGGTGGGGTGCACACCTATGGTGGACAGTAGCCTCTTCATCACATGGCACATGTAGCACGACGACCGGCTGAATATGACCACCGGATTCTCCGATATAAGCCGCTCGATCTTCTTCTCCACCGATTCCGCCACATCTATCGTCAAAGGGCCTCTTGTCATCGCCGTGGCTGTTGCTGCCGCCGTTAGCTCCACCCTCACTCCCCCGTCCGATACAGAACGGAAACACCCTATCCCTTGCATCCCCTCCTTTGCTCCTCCACCGCCGGTGTGTGAGAAAGAAGAAGCAGAGAGACAGATGACCTTTTTTGTCAACGGAACTAGTGGGTTTGAGGAAGGGAGAGGGTTATATAAAAAGAAGGGAGTCGATTCAGTGGGTCGAATGCAATATGATGCAATAGCCAAAAGCAAATCTCAATGTAGACCCCACTTACCCTATATTTTGATCAGTAATTATTTACGTCATCAAATGAATCAACGGCAAATAAGGCTGGACGAGTCATTTAATATTCGAGGATGACGTTGTATTGTAATTCCAGGAGTGGAAGTTGGTCACATGGAGGGTTGAGAAAGGAGAGAGGAGAGAGCGAAAGACGTCAGCACCACGTCGCATGAGAAATGATGATGCAAGGCATACTGGTGAAAAGGAGAGGGAAGGAAGCGTCAGCACTCAGCTGGGCCTGAGTTTGGACCAACGGCTGCACCAAGTGCTGAACTGAACATCACTCTCCTTTTTCTTTCTTTTATCGGATGAAAATCCGCACTCTTCGTCATCCTGACGTCTCCTTTCGACACGTGGAAGCATCCCCTTCGCTTTCTTTGCTTCTCTCTCTCTCTCTCTCTCTTCTATTTATTAAAAAATAAATAATTTTTACTCTCCTCCTCCCGGCTTGGAAATTGAGAGGGAGGGAGTGGGGCGGTTCAGTCAGACTGGAGACAGTGAAGCACCAACTTTGAGGTAATTGCACTTGTAAGGCCAATGGATTTGCGACACGTGTTCGGAGTGATTCGATTCCATGCCAGTTACGTTATCATTTCGGTCGACGCGGTTGAATAGAGTTTGAGTTGATGTAGGGGGAGGGGGTAATAGCCTGTACTATAGGGCGTAGGGTAATCTTACGCGCTACGCCAAATCCAATCGCTCGGTTGTGGGAGGGTGTGGCCCACCCTCCACACAACCATCCTAAATTTGAAAGCCACCACCGTCCATGGTGGAGATATATTTTTTTTTCTTTTTGTCTGCCATGTAGATGCAGCTATTAGCTAAAAGACATCTTACCAAAACAAATTGGTGCACGATGGTACGTAATAATGATGCTTACGGTATATCCCATATCACAGTCGTACGCGTGTCCTGTCCAGACTCCAGACGTTTTTGACCAACAACTTGATGGCATGGGGCCGGCCCTTTTTTTTTTCCTTGTTATTTTTCTATTTGAAAAAGGAAGGAAAGCTGCTTATTTAGAAGAAGTAGAATCAATATTGGGGCTTTAATTTATACGACGTTTGGTTGATTTTTGACCTCTGATCAGATGAAGACAGACACGTAGATACACCATAGCATCTCCCTTGGTCGTCGTCATCATCCATCCAAAAACTGTGGGCACTAAACGACAGGTTGCTTTATTAATAGTTTGTGATTCTTATTTTTTATTTTTTTTTCCGCTTGGCAGATGGAAACCAAAGACCCAAAATTCTTAGAAAAAGAGGGGGAAACGATGGGGAAAGATACTATTGACATTGATGTAGTGGAAGGTGCCACAGAACAGATGGTTTGTGTAAGCAAGTAAGCAGGCAGAGAGAGGGAGAGAGAGTCATCATACTCTATGCCCACCTGATTCATGAATCCCTTTTCCAGTTTTGACTGTAGAAGACACTTTTTGTAGTGTCCTGTTAAATGAAAAATAGTGAGGGGAACCCATTCTGGGTCCGGGCCCGGGCCCGGGTGGCTTCTCAAATCACACTTCACCCCACCACTGAACAATTCTGTCTGGTTTACCATGTCGTCCAGTGACCAAATACTATTTAACATGTACATCAATGACGGAATTGAACTGTACATCCACGCCTTCCTTCAATTACACAATATTCCAACTCTTAGATAAACTATAATTACTCTACCCCCTTTTTTTTTGTTACATTCCCTCTTTCTTTTTCAGCGAGCTCGCGAGGTTATTCAAGTTTGTGATATGTTTTCACGATTTAATCCTTGTTAGCTTCAATAAGGTAATGAGGTAATGACATAGTAGCTAAGGTAATGACTAAGAACAGTCCGAAAGGAACTAGCGTCAATTACATAGTAGCTGAATACAATTCATGAGAAAAGAGTTTCAATGCTTATGTTTTATGAAAGTTGCAACTTTTGATTTAGAATTCATCTGATGAAAATAATAATGAAATTAAAACAAAAATTGCAAAAAATGGGTAGTTTCTTGGGCATATTCCTTTACTTTCCTTTTCTTATAAGAGCAGGGAATTGTAGATTAACATAAAAAAAAAGGTCAAAAAGAGAAAATCATCCCCTTTACTGAGGTGAGCTTAAAGAGTGTCCCATTTACCAATTACCAGTTGTGCCAAAATCACCACTGCAGAATTCAAATCATACTCTTTCACATGTCCATCACAATTCACACAGCTAATCTAGTTATGTTTTTCGGTGACAAACAATGAGGGAGCGTTTCTCAATGTCTAAGTTGTTTTTGTTTAGAAAAAAGAAAACACAATCAAGCATGTTCCATCTATTTTACTTTGCTTTTGTTTATTGATATTAATATGTATCGGGTGTATCGATACTTTAAGTTTAAACCTTCTTGCAACAGCGGCCCCTATCCAATAAGTGAAAAATCACAGTACTTTTTGCAGACACCTAATTGATTCGATCAAAGACTGTTATCTTCACTCGATACTTGCTTTGAAATCACAACTAGGTAAAAAAAAAATCGAAGTATTTCAATAATATAATATTATATTAATGTTTGCAAATGGTGGTCGTCCGAACATTTTAATTTCTAGATTACATAGAGTCAATAGATTTAAAGCAACATAAAATATATATAAATGATAAATGGTTGGGATTGGGAACGTAAGTTGATAGTGAGATGACAGTAAAATGCATGAATGCTGCTAAATGCCCACCAAAAGAAAAAGGTCACCCTGTTATCAGATGGTAAAAGTGGGGAAAATGCATTAATTAGATGGGGCCCGTTGTCTTGAAGAAACAATGTCAAGAAAACGACCACCATGAACATGATCAAAGTCTGGTGTTTACTGTTTAGGCCGGCAACTGATGAACCGAGGAAATGGCCAAAGCCGTGAAGCCGAGACTGAAGGAGGTACGGGGGAGACGGTTTTAATGTGAGCTCACAGTAGCAGTAGTAGAGAAGTGGAGCAGCTGGGAAAAAGGAAATTACAAAAAAAAAAAAAAAAAAACCCCAACAAAACAAACAACCAGAACTAGATGAGAGAGAGAGAGAAAGAGAGATAAAGATAATGTGGAGTATGGAGAAAGAATCGCACGATTACGTACAAAAGAAGAAGGCTCTTTCATAACAAGAGGCCAAAATGGTTGCTGCACTTTTGAACGACAGACAAGAGCTTTGGTTGCATTGATAGGACGGAGGAGGACATCATCATCATCGTCCTCTACAGTCTACACACACTATTGCAAGTATATATATATATATATATCTATTGGAAGGAAAGGCTATCAGCTTACCACTACCAGCAGCAAGAGAGGACTGAGGAGAAGTGGGGGGAGTGCAGCTGTCGGTGTGTGGGGAAGTATAGATTTAAATGTCATATAAAATATAATTCATCAACAGTAGTATTCCATTCATCACTCATCACTCATCACTCATCACTCATCCCTCGGCATTCAGCAAAATAAGCGAAGCTAGCAAGCTGATGAGAGACGTGGGCTGGTTTTTTTTATTTGTTTACCTGTCGGCGCCTTTCTGTCTCTCTCTCTCTCTCTCTCTCTCTCTTTCTTCTAATGCTTTTTTTTTTAATTATTATTTGTGGGTTGGTTGGTTGGTTGACCCCAAACCAAGTTGTGACACACGTGTTGATGTCATGATCTGACTGGACAGGTCAGGATAAACGTCATCATCTCAGTTTTTGTCGCCTCCCAACATTAACATGTCTGTCTGTGCTCTTCCTTTCCAAAAGAAACCTGTGATGATGGGGGATGATAACATTCATGCTCATGCACATACATCCATGGGGGGGGGGAGAACATGCCAAAATCCATGGCAACTATGGCATACAAATACAATGACCACCGTGCATCAAGTAGTGGCATTACATTGGATCAGATGAATCTCAATTTCTCAGCCCGGCCCAGCCCACTTCATCTCCTTCCCAGGCAAGGCAACCCTGTATGGATAGACTAGAGTAGGGAATAGGGATCCGATCAGATTCTTCAGAACTGTCAAAAAGCTTATGCTTATACTTTTCCTTTTCCGTCCTTGTCAAAAAGTTGGGCTGATTCTTTCCCCAAAGCCTCATCTCAACAGTCTGTCTCAGGCTCCGTTCTCTGCCTTCCCCACTATTAGCCCTCTCCCTTTTTCTACTTCTCAAAGGAATTCCAAATCTCTCTCTCTCTCTCTCTCCCTCTCTCTCTCTCCACTTCCCCCCTTATCATGTCTTATTCTATATCCAACACTTTTAGCTTCACGAGAAAATGATAGTCATTGATCACCTTTTTCCACCTCACGCTTGAATGGGAGTTGCTTATCAGCTCGCACTCTCTACAGCATTCAACTAGCATTGAATCAATTATCTCTGGTGGGATCATCTTAACTCTAATTGAACATCCTCAAGATACTGTAATGGAGTAGAACTTTTACAAACAATATGAAAGTGGAGTCACCACTTTTACTGTTCAAATATTTCAACTCACTCAATTTCGATGTGTTTACATCTCCTTGACTATAACCATAAATTTGTTTGCTATGTTCAATCAACTCTTGAATCCTAAATTATTTACTAGCTATTTGTTTTTTTTAAGTTTTTTTGAGAAAAGGGGCCATCGGAACAGAAATGCACAAGAATGGAATCTTGGCCTGGATGTCATTTTTCTATTTGGTTTTATAAACCATCTTTAGGTTGCTTCTTTCAGCTAGTATTGCATTTCACACTTGGTTGCATAATTGTAAACCTATACATGTTATGTGGACTTGAAAGGATGTTCAGTTGATGATACACTGAAAATCAAGTAGGCAGATTTTTGCTGAATTGCTTGGGTGGAACTTAAGAAACAGAGCAATGAGATCATAGAACAAGTCTTCAAGTTACTAGAACATGTCACCGATTGTTCTAGATCAATTTAATGCATCTAATGTTTTTACG